ATAGAGAGAGAGAGAGAGAGAGAGAGAGAGAGAGATCTCTATATATATAATTTTGAAGCTGCGTAGGCTTTTTGCCAGCTTTGTGATCTATGAATGTCTTTCTCAAGGACCCAGGAGCCTTCCCTTTGAAATGTAAACATCAAAGAAGATGGCACTCCTGGCTCCCCTTCCTGTTAGAGGGTAGATGCTTAATTCAGCGGGCATCTTGCTCCAACTTGTAAAACCACCTCTTGTCATAAAGATGTGAAAAGATAAAACCAAACAGCTCACATAGATAATCACTCCAATTACCGCGTTAACTTAGGGGGAGCCATGTGTGACAAATGGAGCTTCAAGTCCTCTTACCTAAGAATTAGGTATTGTGTATGTAGAAAATGTGTTTGTAGGGCCAGACCATGGCCTGAAGGTTAAGGGAGCTGGATCCCACATGGCTGACAACATGGTTTAAGACCCAGACCTGGCGGCTGGAAAAACACGCCAAATACATTTGCGTGTGTTCTCAAGATCCCAAAAGAAGGGAAAAAATGGAGAAGAGATTGCATTGTGACCAACACCCCCATGGGGGTGCTTTCTCCCCTTTTCTCTCTCTCTGTCCCTGTCTCTGGTGAGCACATGAGCCCTCTAACACATGGAACAGAAAATTTTATGTCATTTGTTATGGAGTAGAATTAAGGCAATAAGTAACTGAGTCATAATTATCCCTGCCCTTACACAGCAAACAGCCCAGGCAAAACACTGAAAAGCTCCAAAGTCCCCTTTCCTTCTTTACACTCACTGTGTCCTCACATCTAGTCACTCAGTTGAATCTAATTTCTAAACCTCTCAGATGTCTGACCCCTCCTGTCCCGCCCCACTACCACAGCCCAAGGTCAGCCATAGCTGACCCCTCATAGCTGAGCTCCATGCTCCCTCCTGTTCACCCTCCACTCACCCCCTCACAGCTGCCACAGTGAGCACTCCCAGCCCTGCCCACGTCTCCTCAGCTCTGCACCCAAACTCCCGACCACAGCACACAGCGCCTTCACGATATGGCCTGTGCCTCCTTCTCCAGCCTTCTCTCTCCCTCCTCCCAGACCCCACTCGCTGTGCCCCTGGGGACCCGCACCCTCCAGCCCCAGGTCTATCTGGCTCACTGGGAAGAGCCACGACCATCACGCTGTCTCCAGGCCTTCTCATAGGAGACGCCTGGTGAGCCCTGTGCCAGCTGAGGGTCCCCTCCCAGTGACCTTTCCTGACTGTCATGGGGGTGTTACTCAGTCCCTCCTCCGTGTACCCTGTGCCAGGAAGGCCTCGTTACTCCAGTGACGTCCCCTCTCCCTGCCCTCCCCTCACTGCTCTCACCAACCACAGGGGCCCCCAATGTGCCCAGAACACCCACCCGTGCTCCACCTCGGGGACATCATACTGGGTGCTCCCTGTGAGGAGCTCTCGGCCCTCGGAGATGCTGTCGGCTGAACACCTCCTTCCTGGGAGCCTGGTTCAGATGCTCAGTGAGGCCCTGAGTAACTGAGCCTCCCTCATGCCCCA